AGTGAATGTAATTCAAGAAACAGTTAGCAACTTCAGTACAACATTACTAGTTACCTATTTTGCCTTGGATCATTAGGAATAAGTTCATATCTTTCAACTGGTTAGTTTCTTGTTATGAATAATGATAATACATTGTGGGATGATTTTATTTATTTATTTTTGTCTATAACAGGTTCAGCCATGTGGCTCGCTAGTGATAGAAGAACACCCATACGCAATGTTGATTCCCATTGAATTCTTTTTAATGGGGTTTGGCTTATATAGGCAACAACTACCTTTATCTACAGCATCAAGTAATGGATCAAACCCCGCCAAACCTCCTAGTCAGATGTATTCATGCACAACACCAGAGCTGCTCTCCCCTGAGAGCTTAGGGATCAAGCTTAAACCTATTAAAACCCACGCAACCATTGAAATTTGATAGAGTAGAAATCCCTCCTTTTGCCTGTAATATTTATACTATATTATATGAATTTAGCAGAGAGAGCTGAAAGTGAAAGTTTTATGAGTTTTCTATTGGCTAGTAATTGCTATTTTCCTTTCTTTTGCACACACTATTTACCCTTTTTTTTTTTTTTTTTTTTTTTTTTTTTACTAATAAACCCCTATGAGTTGATTACAAAGTTTATATGCAGGAGGCATGACCTTACAGAGGGCTTAAAGAAGCTACCATGCAAAACACTCATTTTTGTGGGTGATTGCAGTCCATTCCATACTGAATCAGTGTATATGAATGCTATGATGGAAAAAAAGATATGCGCTCTTGTTGAGGTTGGTCTTTCTCCTCACTTTTGATTTTCTCTCAATTAGTGTGATACATTTTTTTTTTGTGTGAATTTCACCTTGCTCATGCTCATCACAGTAGCAACTAAACTTACCTAACAAGCTCATGTTTTTTTTCCTCCTTAAGTACCCAAATACCACATAAAATATATATTGTCAACTATCTAAATGGTACAGGATTCTAAGACCAAATGTTCAAATTCTTGGACAAGAAACATTCCCCATCAGATATGTTTGGACTAATGTCCAAAACCTACCTACAAAGTTGAAACTCCAAGTGAATGTAATTCAAGAAACAGTTAGCAACTTCAGTACAACATTACTAGTTACCTATTTTGCCTTGGATCATTAGGAATAAGTTCGTATCTTTCAACTAGTTAGTTTCTTATTATGAATAATGATAATTCATTGTGGGATGATTTTATTTATTTATTTTTGTCTATAACAGGTTCAGTCATGTGGCTCGCTAGCGATAGAAAAACACCCATATGCAATGTTGATTCCCATTGAATTCTTTTTAATGGGGTTTGGCTTATACAGGCAACAACTACCTTTATCTGTAACATCAAGTAATGGATCAAACCCCGCCAAACCTCCTAGTCTGACGTATTCATGCACAACACCAGAGCTGCTCTCCCCTGAGAGCTTAGGGATCAAGCTTAAACCTATTAAAACCCGTGCAACCATTGAAATTTGATATAGTATAAATGCCTCTCTCCCTACTTCACCTCATTTAATTAGTGTTGCATATTTTGGCAAGCCACAGAAGTAGAACCACAGCTTTGCACGTAAATATACAACCATGTTAAGTGTATAATGTCTTCATGGTAGCACATTCTTTGATTGGTTTTTGTGTTCATAGGGAGAGGATTTTTGTGTTCAATTAGGTTTCAGTGAATGAATTCTTTCTAATCAAGTGTAGATAAAGCATGGTATGGAAAGTGGAATTGTGTCTGTCCAGGCAGAGGAAGTCGGAAACGGGTGGCTATATGACAGTGTGGTGGTTCGTCTTAAAGTTGAATACGCCAATGTTAAGATTAAATATGAATTACAGCAGAGGGGTATGGAGAATGTGGTAGTGAGGGATGGAGGAGGTAGAGATGTGTTGTTAACTTTCAACTCTAAGGAGTGCATGGAGGATAGTTTGGGAACTGTGAAGGAATGGATAGGGGATTGGTGCGAGGAAATTATGATGTGGAATCCTGATTTTCACAGTGGAGGTGAACGTAAGATGTGGGTCTGCTGTTTTGGGATCCCATGGAGCTTATGGAATAGAACAACTTTAAATAGAATTGGGAAGGTATGGGAGGAGGTTATTTGTATTGAAGGTGATATATGCAACCCAGAATCATTTGAATATGCAAGGATTCAAATTTTAACAAAGTATATGGAGCCTATTAATGAAGTAATCAATTTGGAGTGCAAAGTGTATTCCCAAACTGTGAGAGTGTGGGAACATTTATCTGGGGTACCACAGATATTGGCTGGGAGGAGTGAGAGCTCTATGGAACACGGAGGGATAGGAGTCTGCAGTTCAAATAATAGTGAGAAGGTGGGTGTAGGACTTATGGCGACTGATGTGGCTGTAGAAGATGATGATCGGGATGGTGAGTCAGCTACGAAGCTGGACCAATCGAAGGAGGTGTGTATTGGGGTTGGGCCAGAAAGAGTGATGTGTAGCGATGAGGTGCAGATGGGGTCACCAAGGCAGTTTGAAACTGTGGTACCAGAGCCTATTGGCAGTGAGTTCGAGGGTATAGTAGATAGCATTATGGAAGTAGTGGGAGCATAGGCAACGGCTGTGAGTTGGTAGGTCAGAAAAGTAAGGAGCAGGTTGTCATGAAAAGTGCTGTTAAAAGCTTGAGTGGATCTAGTTTGCTCAAACAGGGGGTCCATCTAGAGGTGGTGCTGGGTCGAAGTAATGGGGTGGGCCTATGTAATGGGCCTGTGGATATGAGGGCAGGGGGCGAGACGCAAACCCAAGGCTCCAAGGCTGGTTTTCAAAGAGGGCTTCAGGTTGAAAATAGCCCTTTAATAATATGTTCTGACTTATCTGAATCACAGTGCAACGAATTGAGCTCAAGGAAAAAAACTCCAGAAGAATAGAGGGAGGAAGAGAGTAGTTACGAAATCCAGTGGGAAGAAAATCAGAGAGATGAAGTAGGGATATCTTAAGCTTTCAAAAAGCCATAATCATAGAGGAGCCTCTTCTAGTAAATTGGGACCGAAAGGCGCTGTATGGAGAGCAGCAACTGCGGCAGCATCAGGTGCAGATTCAACAGCTCGTGGAGTAGCTAGAAGCAGATCGTCGCTTAAAGAGGCTCAGGGAACTATTCAGATGGGAAAGTTGTTGGGTATAAACTATAAAGGTAAAGAAGAGGAAGTGTTGACCAAAATCTTGGACCTTGAGGCAAAGGATAAAGCAAGAAGGGAAGGGGATGTAGTTCCTGCGGATTAATAAGATCTTGGGGGGTCAAAGTTCAGTGTAAATGGTTATGATGAAGCTACTAACATGGAATGTCAGAGGTTTGGGGATAAAGGAAAAAAAAAGTAAAATTAAGAGGTTGTTGAAGGATAGAGGTATTGATATAGCTCTCTTTCAAGAGACAAAGAAGGCCTCCATGTCCGAAAAGGAGATCAAAGAGATTTGAGCTAGGGATAGAATGGAATATATGACTGTGGATGCTGAGGGCTCTGCTGGTGGCCTATTATGCATTTGGGATCCAGGTGTTTTACAGATGTCAAGTTGCTGCTGTAATAGAAGGTTTGTTCTTCTCTTTGGGTCTTTATTATTTTCTTTTGATTGTGTCTTGATCAATGTGTATGCACCAAATGAAGTGGGCCAAAGAGGTAAACTGTGGGAGTGTCTTCTAAAGTTAAATGAGGAGTATTCTAAACCCTGGTAAATAGGAGGGGACTTTAATGAAATTAGAAAGATTGGTGAGAAGAAAGGCTGCTCTAGGAGGGATAAGGGGATGGAGGAGTTGAATGATTTTGTTGATAGAAGTGAGTTGAATGATTTGCCTTTATCAGGCCGAAGGTTTACATGGTGTAATGCTAGGGAAGGGGAGAAATGGAGCAGAATTGATAGGGTTTTGGTGGATCCAAAATGGGTGGAATCATTTAATTTGAAGTTGTGAGGACTTCCTAGAGTCATGTCTGATCATAGTCCTTTACTGCTAATGGAAGATGAGAGAGATTGGGGCCCTAGGCCCTTTAGGTTTGTTAATGCTTGGATGTTACACCCAAAATTCTTACCTTTTGTGGAAAAGTGGTGGAGGGAGCATCAGGTGGAGGGGTGGGCTGGGTTTAGGTTATTCTAGAAACTGAAAGAGTTGAAATTAGCACTCAAAAAGTGGAATAGTGAAGTGTTCAGTAATGTTAATATTAAGTTGAAGAAGGTATACGATGAGCTTCATATGATTGATTTGTTAGCAGAGGAAAGAGAGCTTGAAGTGGTAGAAAAAACTAGAAGAAGAGAGGCTAGAGTTGAGGCTGGATATTTAACAAGAATGGTGGAAAGGTTGTGGTTCCAAAAATCGAGGCTTAACGGGAATTTTTATGGTGATAAAAACACAAGATATTTTCATGTGTTAGTGAAATATAGGCAGGGGAGAAATGAAATAAATACTCTAACTGTTGGCGATGTGGTGGTTGATGATCTATGTAGAGTTAAGCTTGAGGACCTAGCTTATTTTCGGAAGCAGTACGCTGAGGATTGACAGCATAAGCCTGTATTGGTAGGTCCATTTAAGTTAGTGAGGGATAGTCCTTGTTTTGATATGTTGGAGGCAGAGTTTACTGAGGCAGAGGTATGGGCTGCTGTCAAGGGTTGTGATGGGAATAGGGCTCCAGGTCCAGATGGTTTTAACTTGGCTTGTATTCAGAAACTGTGGAAGGTAATGAAGTCTGATGTGCTGAATTTTGTGTTCGATTTCCATAAGAATTATAAGTTGGTCAAAGGAATCAATAGCTCTTTCATCACTTTGGTACCTAAAAAGGAGAATCCAGTGGGGTTGGCGGATTATAGACCTATCAATTTGGTTGGGTCGATGTATAAAATTATGTCTAAGGTTCTTTCCTCAAGGCTGAAGGCAGTGATTCCTCAGATCGGAAGTGAAAACCAATCAGTTTTTATTGGAAGGAGGAATATTCTGGATGGTGTTTTGGTGGCCAATGAGGTTGTTGACAGTTGGAAGAAATCTAGAAAGAAATGAATGATTATTAAGTTAGATTTTCAGAAAGCTTATGACTCATTGAATTGGGATTTCTTACTCTCCATGTTGGTTAATTTTGGGTTTGGGGGAAAATGGGTGGAGTGGATTAAGGTATGTATTACCTCAGCTAGGCTATCGGTGCTTGTTAATGGTTCTCCTACTGAGGAGTTCAGTCCACAGAGAGGACTGAGACAAGGGAATTCCTTGTTCCCATTTTTGTTTATCATAGCTGCAGAGTGCTTAAGCATTTTGCTCAATAGAGCTTTGGATTTGGGGATGATAAAGGGGGTTAAGATTGGCTCTGATGGGTTAGTCCTTACTCATCTCTAGTTTGCAGATGATTCTTTGTTATTGTGTGAAGCTGATGTAATGGAGATAAAGAATGTAAAGAAGATTCTGAGGTGCTTTGAGTTGATATCAGGGTTGAAGATAAATTACCATCAAAGTGTAATTAGTGGTGTGGGTATTCTAGAAGAGGAAATGTCTGAGTACACATCAGTGCTGAACTGTGAAGTTAAATGTTTGCCGTTCAAATACCTCGGTTTACCACTGGGGGCTAACCCAAGTAGGAAAGCAACTTGGCGGCCTATACTAGGTAAATTCAGAAGCAAACTAGCTGGTTGGAAAAGGAAACTACTGTCATTTGCTGGGAGACTTGTTTTAATCAAATCTGTCCTGTCCTCGCTGCCTATATATTATATGTCATTGTTTAAGTTGCCACAGGGGATTGCTAGAGAATTGGACAAGCTTCAAGCTTGCTTTCTGTGGGGGGGATCTGAATTGAAGAGGAAGGTTCATCTAGTAAAATGGAAGGAAGTGGTGAAGCCTGTAGACCAAGGGGGCTTGGGGGTTAGGAGAGTGAAGGAAGTGAATAGTTGCCTTATGTTGAAATGGTGGTAGAGGTTTGGCGTGGAAAATAAAGCTTTGTGAAGGAGAGTTTTGAGCAGTAAATATAGGATTGAGGAGGGGAGTTGGAGCCCTCAAGTAATCTGTAATGCGAGATGTTCTAAAATGTGGTAGGATATATTATTACAATCTGAACAGAGTAACAGTCTAGTGGTTATTTTTCTGGACAATTGTAAGGTGAAAGTGGGTAATGGTCATAGAATCAAGTTTTGGAAGGATAAGTGGTGTGAAAACTTGAGCCTTAAAGATGCATTTCCACTGTTGTACATGGTAGTAGTTGATAAGAGAGTGACTTTATCTGATATGATGATCAGTAAGGAGGAAGCTGGTGAATGGTCATTTCAGTTTAGAAGGGTGTTGTTTGGTTTGACTGGGAAATAGTGGAATTAATCAGATTGGTGAGTCAGATTGAGGCAGGTCCTAATCTTAGGTGTTACTCAAAAGATACTCTTGTCTGGAAAGCCTCGGAATCTGGAAGATATTCAATTCAATCTATGTATAAGCTATTGGTTGAGGGATCCAGCAATAGATGCACAGTTAGCAAAAGGATTTGGGTTAAACATGTCCCACTTAGAGTCCAATTTTTTGGATGGCTTGCTTGGAAAGGAAAACTAAAGACAGCTGAGTTTCTGCACAGGATTGGTGTTCTGTCTGCTGGTGCATCTGTAGAATGTTGTCTATGTAAATTTGGAGCTGAGTCTCTCATACATGTGCTTCTATTATGTCCACTGGCTTGGAGAGTGTGGTATGAAATGATTAGATGGTGGAAGATTCAAGGAGCACTGCCAGCCTCAGTGGAGGACATGCTTGAATGGTGGACAGGGGTAGGTCTTAATAAAAAGGAAAGGATGATGTGTAATGCCCTTCCTCTTGTAGTGATGTGGTCTCTATGGAAAAATCGGAATGAATGTTTATTTCAGGAGGTTGTCCCAAGTGTGGATGGAATTACGGATCTGATTAAGTTAAAAATGGCTGTGTGGTTTAAGGAAGTATTTAAGGAACACTTGTTCTCTATTCATGATTTCATATTTAATCTACAGTGTATCAGATTTAGTTTGGGAGGTGGTGTCAGAGGGTGAAGTATATGAGGAGGCCTATTTTTTCCTACTAGTCCTTCTGCAGAATGCTCTCGGTTGGCATGCTAGGCTGTAGAGTTTTGCCTCAATCTGTGCAGGATAGTCTCTGCTGTGTGTGAGGAAGTTCTGCCTCTGGTTATGCAGCTAGAATGTGCTTGTCATTAGTTATGCAGTTTAGTCTCCATGTTCTGGTGTTGGTTGGATTTGATGGAAGTTGATGTGTGCTCTACTTACTCTATAGGAATTCAGTTATTTTAACCATTGCTACTTATTGATCTGTAGAAAATTGCTCTGCTGTTTAGGTGGCTCTCAGAGTGTTTTGTTGCTAGTCTTGCTGATTCAGCTATCTGAAGTTTTTGTGGTGCTAAGGTTTGGAGATGAAGGTTTGTTTGCTGCAATTTTGATGGTCAGCTGCAATTTTGATGGTCAGCTTGTAGGTTTAGTTTGGTTTTGTTTCAGATTTGGGTGCTGAATGGTGGGCAACCTGCTGGGGTGTGCAATCTGCCTTTTTTTGGTGTATGCTGCTAGATTACTCTCATGCTGTGTATTGTATGCTGCTAGATTACTCTCATGCTGTGTATTCTGTTTCTGTTTATTTGGTTTTCCTCTGTGTTGGATTCTCTCCAACTGGAGCTCCGAGCTTAATGTAGCTCCGAGCTCCTCTTTATTGATGTACTCTTTTTTATGATTTCATCAATAAAGATTTCTTCTTGCTGATAATAAAAAAAAAAGTGTAGATAAAGCAGATGAGAGATATTGTAGTTTGAGGGGTAGGGGTGTTCTTTTTGAGCATGTCTTAAATGTTTGTACACATTGATGATGACTACTTTGTAAGTGCAACTGTTCGTTAATAATAAAGTCCTTTTATAGAAATGGGGAATTCTTATATTTAAATGTGGTTTGGTAACATCCCCTCTTCACTCCACAGCTAAAAGCCGAAATAACAATCAACGCAAATAATAATAATAATAATAACAATAATAATAATTATAATTAGGTGTGTGCTATAAAGTTAGCAGAAATGTTTTTATTTTTTTTTTATTTTTTTACTACTAGAAAAAAATTGTCCAAAATGTCATGTCTTGAAATTTAAGTAATTAAATAAGAGAAAACTAATTGACCTAAGTGTAATTACTTAATAAAAGTCATCTCTTTATCCCTTGCTCATTTCTAAAATTGCACCTTCAGCATTTACTTCAATTCTGTAACAATTGATTTATATAATATGATGACATTTAATTTCCAAGACAAGTTCATTCAGTTACAACTGGAGTTTATTTGGAAAGTAATCATTTTAATCGAATTTTTAATATTTATAAAAAAAACCATGTAAAAAAAATAGAGAAATGTGATTAAAGTGTTTTGACTTTAAGACTATTTTAATCAAAAAGCTAACAGCCAAACGTGGACTCTCGTATCCATTCTCACCAAGTTGAGCCAATTCCCAATCAGATAGATGAAGTGCAGGAGGTACCAACTTGAATGATATAGGGTCTTGCTATGGTTACATTCAAATGCACCATACATCCAATTATGAGTCAGTGATTTTGGTTATGAAATGTGTAGTGTTATGGTTATGAGATGCATGGTAGTGGTTGTGAAATATGTAGTGTTGGTAATTATTTGTTTTTTTTCAACATTTTATTATTGGCAAATTACACTTTATTCCCTTCAACTATCACCATTTTTCACTTTACCCCACTCAAACTAAAAATTAAGACAATATATTTCCTTCATCTTCTGAAAATTTTCAATCTAATCCTTATGTTTCTATTTTGTTAACAAAACAAACGAAAAATATGCATGTAAAGTGCACATATAATATTTATGACGAAAAATACCTTTTACAGATTGAATGTATATATGGAGAAAAGTAGAATAAAATACGAAGAAATTGTATAGTAGTTAATCAGTGACATATTACCCTACCAATAATAAAGAAATTACATTCTTATTTAACAAACACGCTGATAAACTTCTACCTGTAACTGACTTAACTGTTGTAACTGATTCTGTAACTGACTCAACTACTGTAACTGATGACTCAACTGAATTTCAGCAATCAAAGCTACATCAGACACAGCAGCTCTCTACTTCCCTATTACCACAGACACAGAGAGAGTCATTAATAGATCCTCTATCATAGTCATGTGTGACTAGCAGTACTCAATATAATATCTGTAACAGTTGTAAAGTTCGTTAGTTAGTTATCAGTATTTGTTAGTGAGTTAGTTAGCAAGATTGTGTATATAATCTCTTGATCAGTTGTAATCAGTGAATTGAATAAAAAAAATAAAAATATCTTCATCTTCTACATGGTATCAGAGCTGTAGAGCTCTCACGAGCAGATTCATCCATGGCAGCTCATGCTAATGCATCCATGGCTGATCCTGTTTCTCTCCCATCTAGTCTTAATTCTCTTCTATCAAATTTTAGCTCTCTTGTCACTGTTAAACTTGATGTTAGTAATTTTCTTATCTGGCGAAATCAGCTTCACAATATTCTTCGAGCAACTGGTTTTTTTGGCTATGTGACTGGAGCAATCCCTTGTCCTTCTTCTGAAATTACTAATGCCTCAGGAAAAACAGTTCTTAATCCTGCATATGCTCAATGGGAAGCCATTGATGCAAATCTTCTCACATGTCTAATTGCAACACTTTCTCCTTCCGTATATTCCTCTGTTCTTCATCTACAAACTTGCTCACAAGTCTGGAAAGCACTGGAACAGAGATTTACATCTGTCTCTCGGTCTCATAGTCGTCAATTGAAGAACAAACTTCACATCATCCGTAAGCAATCTTCCTCAATTGACAGTTATCTGTCACAGATCAAAGAAGTATCTGATCAGTTAGTTTTGTCTGGTGCAAAGGTTGATGATGAAGACCTAATTCTTTTCACATTAAATGGCTTACCAAATGAATACGATGCATTCAAAGCATCTATTCGAACTCGATCTACTTCAGTGTCTATGGAAGAACTCTGTTCTCTACTTGGATCAGAAGAAATTCATATTGAAAGTAAAATCAAGCATTCCTCTAATCAAGATTTGCATGTTGCTTATTCAACAACAAAAGGTTCTTCTGGTTCTGGTTTTGATACTTCATCTTCCAGCTTTGGTTCAAATCCTCGTACTACTACTTTCAATCATTTTAGAGGCAGAAATCAGCACAGAGGCAGCAGAGGTGGCAGATATCAGAATAATTTTCATGGTGGAAACAGAACTAATCGATATTATATCAATAGATCCAGATCTGATTATCCTGGTCCTACTGCATCTATGTGTCAGATCTGTGGAAAATCAGGTCATATTGCTTTAGATTGTTGGTATAGACATGATACCACTTATCAATCTACTTCTACTCCTGTACCAAAAGCCTATACTGCAGTTGTGCCTTCATTCTCATCAGATTCTACTCTGTCTACTGTGCCTTCATGGTATGTTGATTCAGCAGCCACAAATCATCTCACATCTGATTTGACTAATTTTCAGCAGTATCAAGCTTATCAGGGATCAGATCAAGTTCAAGTTGGAAATGGCTCAGGTTTGCCTATTCAGCATGTTGGCAATGGTATTCTTCATACACCACATTTTTCATTCATTCTTTCCAATCTTTTACATGTTCCTTCTATATCTTCCAATCTTCTATCTGTTCATCAATTAACCAAGGATCACAACTGTCTTGTTATTTTTTATTCTGATTCTTTTATCATTCAGGACAAACACACACATAAAGTTCTGCATAAAGGCTCAAATGTCAATGGCCTTTATCAAATGTCTCCATCTTCTTCCATCTGTTCCAAGCAACCACAGGTTTTTCAGTCTTTCACTGGTCTCACTGCTCCAGTTTCTGATCTGCTGTGGCATAAAAGGTTGGGTCATCCTTCAACTGTCAAGCTGCAGCACTTGGCATCACATCTTCCACATAAAAATGGGTTCAATAAAGACATAGCCTGTACTGACTGCTATGTGTCTAAAAGTCATAGACTTCCCTTCAAATTGTCTTGTTCTTCTGTTGATAGTCCATTTTCCCTTATTCATGCTGATGGCCCTTTTACTGTTGATAATGCCCCATTTCGATTTTATGTTTTGTTTGTTGATGATTGTACTAGATTCACTTGGATCTATCCCTTGCACTTTAAGAGTGAAGTATATGAAAAATTGCTTGAGTTTAAAGTCTATGCAAAAAATGAATTTCATACTTCTCTTAAAATTCTAAGAACTGATGGAGGTACTGAATTTGTTAACAAAAGAATTGCTTCTCTCTTTTCTTCCCATGGTATTATTCATCAAACAAGTTGTCCTTATACTCAAGCTCAGAATGGTGTGGCTGAAAGGAAGCATAGGCATATAACTGAAACAGCTATCACTCTTCTTCACCAATCTTCTCTTCCTTTACAATTTTGGTTTGATGCTGTAGCTACAGCTGTCTTTTTAATAAATAGAATGCCTAGTTCTATTCTTTCAAATAAATCTCCATTTCAGGTTCTTTTTAAAACCCTTCCAGATTATTCCTTCTTCAAAATCTTTGGTTGTCAATGCTTTCCTTGGTTGAAACCTTATATTCCTCATAAACTTCACCCTAAGTCTGTCTCATGTGTTTTCTTAGGATATCATCCAACTGTTAAAGGGTATAGATGCTTAGATCCTCTCACTAGCAAACTATATCTCTCTAGACATGTTATCTTCAATAAGTCATGTTTTCCATATGCAACTATTGTTGCCTCATCTACTTCTCCTTCTCTATCTTTGCCTCATCTACATCACTTTTTCTGGCCTTCTTCTACTTCATCTGTCTCTCAGATTTCCTCTTCTTCTCAGCCTTCTCTTTCTCATTTTTTTTCTCACTCTCCTTCCTCTTTATCTATGTCTCCATCTTCATCATCTTCTCCTCAACAGTTCTCTTCATCTCCTCATACTATTCCTATTACCTCTATTACTATTGATCTTCCTCCACCTTCTGCACCAACTTCTTTCAATGTTCACCCTATGCTTACCAGATCCAAGACAAAACCTCCTATTTGCCTTACTGTTGTCTCAGATTCCTCTTATCTTCAGTCTGAACCTCCCACTGTTGCAGCTGCTCTAGCTTCCCCTGTGTGGCTGTCTGCTATGCAAGAGGAGTTTCAAGCTCTGCAACAACAATGTACTTGGGATCTTGTGTCTCTTCCTTCCCATAAAAATGCAATTGGTTGTAAATGGGTGTATCGAATCAAACGTAATTCTGATGGTTCTGTGGCTAGATACAAAGCCCGGTTGGTGGCTAAAGGGTACCTACAACAGGAAGGAGTTGATTTTCATGAAACCTTCAGTCCTGTGGCAAAGCAACCCACCATTCGCATTTTTCTGTGTTTAGCTCTGCATTTTCAATGGCCTATTCACTAGTTAGACATTTCTAATGCCTTCCTTCATGGCACCTTAGATGAAGAAGTCTATATGCTTCAACCCCCCGGTTTTGTTCAAGCTTCTAACCAAGTATGCAAGCTTAAGAAAGCTTTATATGGCCTCAAACAAGCTCCTCGAGCTTGGTTTTCTACCTTTTCTAAATTTCTTCTCTCTCAGGGTTTTGTTAACAGTCACTCAGACTCTTCTCTATTTGTTCGACATACCACTACTAGCCTTCTCATTCTTGTCGTTTATGTTGATGACATCTTGGTTACTGCTAGTGATTCTTCTCTTCTTACTAAGTTTATTCATCACATGCATATTGTTTTCTCCATGAAAGAGTTAGGTCATGTGTCCTATTTCTTAGGTATATCTGTTCAATCTTTGCCTCATGGTTATTTCTTGTCTCAAGCTAAATATGCCACTGAACTTCTTCATAAAGCTGGTTTGACTGATTGCAAACCTTGTTCTACCCCTTTAGCTGTTAAATCTTCTCGTTCTGGTGGTGATGATCTTTCTTTTTTCAATCCTTCTCTTTACCGTAGTCTTGTTGGAGGATTACAGTATCTTACCATTACCCGTCCTGACTTGGCCCTAGCTGTTAATCAGGCCTGCCAGCACATGCATCTTCCTACCAATGCTGATTTTCAAGCTGTAAAACGCCTCTTGCGATATGTGAAGGGCACTCTTCATCATGGTCTTCATTTTACTTCTGGCCCCTTTTCTCTTCATGCCTTTTCAGATTCAAACTGGGCTGGCGACACTGTTGATCGTCGCTCCACTTCAGGATACTGTGTCTATTTAGGTCCTAATTTGATTTCTTGGAGTGCTAAGAAACAATCTATTGTTTCTAGATCTTCAACTGAGGCAGAGTATAGAGCTTTAGCTAATGCCACTGCCGAACTCACATGGTTGCAACAACTTCTCAAAGACATGCACATCTCTATTCCTTCTATTCTTGACCTCTGGTGTGACAATCTATCTGCTATGGCCTTGGCTACTAATCCTGTTTTCCACTCTCGATCTAAGCATATCGAAATTGATTGTCACTTTATTCGTGATAAGGTTGTTGCCAAGCTTATTAATTTGCAGTATGTGCCTACCACAGATCAGGTGGCTGATATTTTCACTAAACCTCTTCCTACCTCTCGTTTTCAGTATTTGAAAGACAAGCTTCTTGTGCTCCCTTGCCCCATCCGCTTGCAGGAGGCTGATAAACTTCTACCTGTAACTGACTTAACTGCTGTAACTGATTCTGTAACTGACTCAACTACTGTAACTGATGACTCAACTGAATTTCAGCAATCAAAGCTACATCAGACACAGCAGCTCTCTACTTCCCTATTACCACAGACACAGAGAGAGTCATTAATAGATCCTCTATCACAGTCATGTGTGACTAGCAGTACTCAATATCATATCTGTAATAGTTGTAAAGTTTGTTAGTTAGTTATGAGTATTTGTTAGTGAGTTAGTTAGCAAGATTGTGTATATAATCTCTTGATCAGTTGTAATCAGTGAATTGAATAAAAAAAAATAAAAATATCTTCATCTTCTATACACCCACTAGTTTGATTTAATCTTAAATATAACCATTATAAATAACTTAAAAACATCTTTCGAAAATTTGCATGATTGGCACACAACTGAGAAGGGGAAACCTTCTCTTCTTTATTGAATTCATATGATAAAAACATTACATTTAGTTACCAGCCATTTCAGCACATGATAATAACATTATTTATAATTATAACATGCTTACTAATTTAAAAGGGGAAGCTTCCCATAGGGAAATTTTTTTTATTAAATACAGCCATATGAAAGACATTAATACTGCACATACTACTCCAAAAGATATGATCATGTATGACTGGGTCGCAGATCGCAAATTCTTAGGCCTTGGCTGTGTCTTGTGTCGCTGTTGCATCCACAAGGACGCGGGATTTCACATCATTACTAGGAGTAGATGTCATAGACGAGAAGCAACCTTTCCATTCACATGCACTGGTGGTGCCAGATTTGCTCACCTCTTCATGGACATGATCCCAAGTAGAGTCGTTGGAGTTTGCCTTATAGTGACCATGTTCAGCAATCTCAGTAAAGACCTACACGTATAATTAAGATTTTTTTCTAAAAAATTATATTCAAACATATATAAAATGATCACATGTGATATGTGCATATACTTTTTGAAATTTATACTGATCATATTTTATTTATCACCTTATATATCGCATTGGGAACAAACATGAGTGGTGAGTGAGACCCATGAATCAATATAATATTTGACACGTAATATAATAAACAAATAATAATAAGACAATATGATTATCCAAACGTTATTGATTTTCGATTACACTAGCAGTAATACAAGAAGTAAGAATTCAGAATACCTAGGTAAGGTATGTACCTTATTGTCCTTATTGGTTGGGTTGGACCAAGAAAACATCCAATCACAGGCTTTCTCATCCTTGTTTGTGCCCCAATACACAACAGCTCCACACGATTCACTACGTTTTCCAGAAGTTCCCTCATGCTTAAACACACTGTACTGGCCATTGTCTATTTTGACTGGATATGTGCTCTGTTCAGCTAATTTCCCAGAAAAATCATGTTTGACAGAATACGTTATAGTGCCCCCAGTCGCATTGTAAATACTTCCAAGCGTGATGACAAACTCTCGCTCGAGCAACCAAACCCCGGCTCGAGCGAAGAACCAAAAACAACAGCTCGCTCGAGCGACAAACTCCTCGCCCGAGCGAAGATCCAAAATACTGGACAGCAACACTTGATTTCTAAACCCAACCAACCTGAAACAAACCTGCCCAACACATCCTATAATTCCAAATGAGAAAATAAGGGACAACAACAACCATTATACAATGACAGAATCTACGGAACCTAAGTCCGGATACAATAATCAAATGGGAGAAGGCCGGGGTCGCTATACTTTCTAGGACTAATTTAATGCAACAACACTTCAAATGGAAAAAGAGATTATTTCATAATGCCATGGAGTTGGATCTACCAAATGATAAGAATGCTTCTGAGATTCAAGGTGAAACAGTCGGATTGAATGGATAGATAGAAGCAAGGAAATTTATTATTGGATAAAATTCATTTTATCTCCTTATAGTTTAAGGCTGAAGCATTTTACCCCGGTTACTAGAAAGATGTGAAATTATCTTAATACCCCTCTCATCTTCTATCTCTATTTTGTTTCACTTATTTTATTTTTCTCTTATCTCTTCTACACATAATTTCTAATTTAAACAACAATAATTTGTCATAAAAAATATTAATTAAATTAAATTACATATTATCCAACAAAAAAAACTTTAAATTTCTAATTATGTATTTTAATTTCTAACTTTTAAACCAATTTTCATTTAATTATGTTTTACACAAAACATATATATATATATATATACATATGCTATCAATAATATTAATTGTTCAACCTCTTCGAAGAACTCTACAAATTGTAAGCATATACATCTACATTTCTACATAGCAAAAACATAAAATTATCGAAAAGGTTCATTAATTTATGTGAAAATCTGAATATACAAATAAAATAAATAATTATTTTACAAATCTTAAATATTCTACTTGTGAATCTTAAGGTGCAAATTAAATATTACTGAACAATCTTTTAATTAATTTTAAACCTAAAATAAATTTATGGTGAAAGTCTTTAATTCAGAGGCAAGATTTGTTATTTTAAAAAAAATAAATAGAGAAGAGGATATGACTTGAACTCTAGACCACAAATTTGATAAATAAAGCTCTTACCATTTGAGTTGCATACAACATATATAAACATTTTGTAAATTATTTATTTATTTGACCTGCACACGCATTGGGTGTGCCCTCCACTAGTATAAATAAAATAAACACAAACCCTACCCTCTTATTTGTTCACCACAAGTTAGCAGCAGCCGTGAGGGAGAAAAATGGAGAGAGAGAGAGAGAGAGGGAGAGAGGGAGAGAGAGAGAGAGAGATTAGAGAGAAACTTTCAGCAATATTGGTGGTCAACAACCCTAAGGTATTGTTCTATTTTATTATATTTATATATATATATATATATTTTTTTTTGATAACTCAGGTATCCCCAACCCGCTGATTTTAAGGGAAGCCAGGACTAATACTGAGGGCCCTGAAGTTAACGACCGGGCAAACCTCCAGTGGCCCCAAAGGGTGACTCGAACTCGAGACCTGTGGATTTTATTATATTATATTTATATATTGTGATGGTTCATGTGTGTAATCTGCTTGTTGTTGGGAAGGAATAGGAGAAACGGGTGTGTTGTTTGGGTGCCAAGTCAGTGATTGGTGATGAGAAATAATGGGTGAAATTCTTAGTCCAAAAATTCTATACACAAACACAATTTTTAAAAATCAAGAAACCTTATCAAACAGAAACCTCATGAAACGGATGAATTTTGAACTGAAAATTTTATAGTAGATTAATTACATATTGAATTGCATACCAAAATTTTCTTATAATTTTTTGGAGTGAAAATCCATATAAATTGATGCATTCAAATCTGTCCAGAAAATTAGTACAAAATAGTAACTTCGGAAGTAGGGATGACAATTTGAACCCGGCCCGACAGGGACCCGACCCCCCGACCTCGATTTAAACAATTTTTTCCCAAAAAATACCACCGACGGGACGGGGATGGTATTAAAAAATCAATCCCTGATCACTTTCGGATCGGGGACGGGCCCCGCTCCCTGCCCCGGTTTGCCCTGAAAATAGAATTGCCATTTTACCCCTATATATATATAAAACTAAACCCTAAAACATAACACAGACCACCGCTTCTCTTCCCCCCCCTCTCTCTCTCTCTCCATCTTCTCTCTCTGCTTCTCTCTTCCCTCTCTCTTTCTGTAAATCGAGCAGCAGTGGTAACGAAGGGATGGTGTCGCACTGCCATCGAGGCGGCGTACGTGAGGTTAGCGTCGAACGATCGCAGTCTCCGATCATGTACAGGGAGAAGCAGTCCGCGTCGGAGGCGACGAACGTGACGAAGCGCCTCCTCAAGAACACCGGCATCGACAGATCGTCCACACTCTCTATCTCTCTCTCTCTCTCTATGATAGATCTCAGATCATCCACTCTCTCTCTCTCTCTGTGACAGATCTCAGAGAGATACATGCATGTGACAGTCCATTTTTTTTTTCTTCACCGTCTGTTGATGATGTCGATCGTCTATTTTTTTTCTTCATGTATTTTGCTCCAAGCTTCTAAGAGAAGCTTGGCCTTTTTGCTCAAAGCTTCTAAGAGAAGCTTTGCCCCCTTGGTTTCTCTATAAAAAGAGAGCCTCTCCTCCCCTTTTAAGGGTTAGAAAAATCAGATATATATGATATATATATCACTCTCTCTCTATATCTCCCTCTCTCTCTACATTTGGGTGGGTTAGAGGATCCAAAAGGGTCTTGTTCTCGGCCTATTGCACACCACTTCATAGCCACACACCTCCATCATCACTTGGAGGTTCTTGGAGCTTGTTTTCAGAGGTTGAGGGTTGCATTTTTGGGTCTAAAGGCTGCTGGTTCTTGCTGGTCTTCAAAGGTAACCCATTTTCCCTCTTTATTCCCCGTTTTTGCACACCCTTTTAGCCTGTCTTGCTTGCTGATTTGGGCTTTGTGTATAACATAAAAAAGTTCTGTTTTTCTGTTTTTAAGATACTTCATTAAGGTCACTTTTGTGTTTGGGGTCGTTTACCCCCTCTTAGGCCTTGTTTGGCCCCATTTTGTGCTATTTTTGGTGAGTTTCGAGACCACCTTGTTTGGGCCTCCTCACCACTGAAATCTTGAGGGATTTCAGTGGTGAGGATGGTGGTTTAAAGTCCTAGGAAGGAGAGGGTCCTCTCTCCTTGTTGTCTTCAAAAAGTGCCATTTTAGCCTCATGTGTGAGCACCATTTTTAAGTTCATGTTGGCCATGTCTTAAGTTTTATTTGTGCTTATTTTATCATGATATAGCACTTTTTTTACTTGGTTTAGACACACCATGCTTGCTTTGCATACTTGTCATGTAATGCCATGAAATTGCTTCAACATGTATCTAGCATTTAGACCACTATGCTTACTTATTTTGGCTTAGCTTTGTGAAGCTTTTATGCTTGTTTTAGTATGCTAAGGGACTGTTTTTGGTCATTTGAGGCATCAATGCTTTGCTTTGTATAGCTACCATGCAAACTCTCTTGTATGCCTTGAGCATTGACCCCTCTAGCATGCCATCCTTGCATCATTTCAGTGGTTTGGAACCACTTATCATATTATTTCAGTCCTTGTGGCATGCCTATATGCTTGCATTTGATACCCCTTTAATGTGTTAAAAGGTTGTTGTCTTATGCTCCTTGTTTGGGCCCTTGTGCATGCTTCCATACTTAAGCCATTTAGATGCCATTTAGGTGGGTTTTGAGGCTCATTTTAGCATGTCACATCTCTATTTTCAGTCACTTAATTCATGCCATGTGTGGTTGCGCTAAGTGTAGTTCAATGCTTCTTTGGTGAGCCTTAGGCTTTAGATCATTTGTTGTATGCTATGCTTGTCTTGTTTGCTTGTTTTGGCACCATCATTAACATGATTTTCAGAGCTTACATTGCATGTCATATGCCCATGTTATTCCTCTTTTAAGTGTGCTTAAAAGTTGTCTCTATGTGCCTAAGTGTTGGACCTTGCATGCATGCCTATTTGTATGTGTTTTGGCTTCCATTCTTGAGCATGTTGGCCACTGTTTTGGACCTAGTAGAGGGCTGTCCAAATTAGTTTAAGACTATCCCTTTGGCATGTTGTTGCATGCTATACATGTTTGTATTTTTAGGTACTTAGCCTATTAACATGTTGCATGTTTAAGTGTCATTGCATTTGGCATGCTTCTTGTGTTAAGTCGCTTTGCATATTTACATGTGTTATGCCTTTCATGTTGTTGCATGTGTGTCATTAACATTGATGTTATATGCCTTGCACGTTTACTTGTTTAGTTCATGTGCCTATTGCACATGGTTTTGTTGTTTGCATGATCATGTTGCACACTTAGCTCACATGCCTAGGTTGCATTACATTAGCATGCATCTCTTGCCTCTTGAATTGATTATGATGGAGGTTGGGGCCCATTGTTTGTTTTGTGCATTTTATTCCATATTGAAGTTGCACAACTTGGTTTCTTGGGCCATCACGCATTGAAATGCGCGATTGGTGGTCCGAGGGTCAAGCACTATCCTCCTTTGAGTCATAAACATGATAAGGAGTGTGGTTGGTGCATACGTTTGCTTGAAATACATTGCCATGCCTTGTCTGCCCTCTGCTGCTATCAAACAGGTTAGGAAGAATTGGCCGGCTGGCAGTGTTGGGTGCCGACCGGCAAAACAGGTTTGGCCGAGAGCACAATTTTTAGCCGATGACCATTCTAAATGGCCGGTGATGATCTCACTCAGCCGGTAGTGTCCCACAACACTCAGAGAAGCAACCTTGGAAGTTGTGCAATTTTCAGATAAGCAAAACAGTCAAAGCAGAGGCAAACTTGTGCATGGCAGTGACTTTCCGAGCGGAGCCGAGTGCGCATTGGGCCCTCTTCCCGAGGCCGTTTACTGCTTTCATTAGATTAGTTAATTTGTTAATTAATTAATTGGTCTGTAATAATTAATTAGCTTGTAGGTT